ACCAAGGGTTCTGGAAACACTGCCTACTCCCTCCATCCCTGCGGCTAGGTGTGGCAGTGGCTTCCTGAGCTTGCTCATCTCTGGGTTGTTTCACTTTTCCCTCTTTGGTTTCTCTTATGTAATCAGTTCCCTGTAATAAACTCCTTCTGTTTTCAAAAATATTTGGAGTGGCTGCTGTTTTCTTAGACCCTCACTAATAGACTTTGGTATATTTTGTATTTGTTTCCTGGGGCTATTGTAACAAAGTACCACAAACTTGTGGCATCAAACAACAGAAATTTATTCTCCCACAGTTTTGGAGGCCAGAAGTCTAAAGTCAAGGTATCAGCAGTATTACTTCTATGCTTCTCCTAGTTTCTAGAGGTAGCCAGCAATCCTTGGAACTCCTCAGCTTGTAGATGCATTGCTCCAATCTTTGTATTTGTTGTCATGTGGTATTCTTTTCTGTTTCTGTGCCCAAATTTCCCTCTTTTGAAGGGATACCAGTCATTGGATTAGGGTCTATCCTAATCCAGTATGGCCTCATTTCAACTTGATTACATCTGCAAATACCCGGTTTCCAAATGAAGTCACATTCACACATTCTAGGCAGACATGAATTTTGGGGGAACACTGTTCAACTCAATACAGTTATGTCTTAGTTTGAGTTTTCTACTCTAAAAGCAAGTCTGAGACAAAGATTAGTAAGAGGTAATTTATTTGGGAGGTGATTCCAAGAGACTGGAGAGAGTAGGAAGAATGAGACAGGAAAAGGAGAGCTAACCTAGAGTGCATTACTGAGCTATTTATTGCTGCAGGCAACTGGAGCTAAATCCTGCTGGGGACTCTTATGATCCACATACAATGGTACTACAAAAAGTTTGTGGAAAATAGAATTAAAAGATAACACAAATCTTTCCATAAACGTTTGGAAGTATCATTGTAGAAGGAATGTCAGCATTGTCTTTCTAGAATTTAAGAGGCTGGGTCATTTTCCAGCCAATTTCTATCTCTAATTGGTTGAATTTTGTCTCTGGGTCTTTAACTCTTTCAAACTTGAGGGCTGAGCCTGCTCTTGGACAGAGTGGATTCCTACAGCTTCAGAGAATACCCTGAGGCAGAAAAGCTGCAAGTTGCATGGGTGCCTGGGCCCTTGAGGTACAGCTCAGATCGCAGGTGAACTGAAGTGATGTGGTGTAAGGAAAACAGCACCTGCTACAAGGGATGCCTCTGACCACCCTTATTACCCAGGTCTGCCCATGTCTCGTGGATTAGTGAGCTCTCTTCAATCAATTTACTCAGGCCTCTCCTTTTCCTTTGTCCTTGCTTCTGAAGGGGCATGGTCCCTTCACAGGGGCTCCTGCGGCTCCCCTCCCCTCTTTCCTGAGTGTTTGCTCTCTTCTGTACCTCCACCTTCTCTGATGATGGAAGGAAGCATGAATCATTGGCTCTGATGGAAAGTTAAAAACAAATTGTATTTAATGTTTCTTTTCTCTTTCTCTTTCTTTTTTATTTTATGGATTCTATTCTTGACAGTATATAGTATTTATTTGCTATGTTACTCATCTGACTTAGGATTTGTCCAGCCGTCTTAGCTTGCTGATTTTGTTTCTGGTCCGGATTATCTACTGTGCTGGTGGATGGAAATGATGTCCTAAGGTAACTGGCTGGGGTCACCAACAGTTATGTGTGGTGTGCTAGACAATATTGGCTGAGCCAGCTCGCTCCGTGTCTCTGAAGATAGGTACCAGGGAAAAGATTATGCAACAGATTTTTTCACTTGGGGTCAAGTTGGGGGATCTGATGGAGGTCAGGGATCACAGGGTCAGAAAAGCACAGTACTCCAGAACATATAGGTTGGGATACATTTTCTCTAATATTTTGAGGAGAGCTGGTGCCTGTAAGCTAGAGAACATCAGGACTTATAACATTTTTGCCTTGCCTGTCTAGCTATGTGACCAACAAGCAACCAAAGATAAAACGATAGCAAAAAAAAATTTGTGACTTGATGTTAAGAATGTTGATTGAAATGAAATACAGTGACAAGTGCAAGAAAAAGTTTAAAATGTACCTTGGAAACAGTACATGGCTAATAAGTTTGTTGAATAAATGAGAAAATACTCTATCATAATAGTAACTAAAGCTTATTGAGTTCTTATATTTTTAAGTGCTTTTTGTTCTTCATATCACAGAATCCTCTCAACAATCATGTAAGGTGGGTATTAACACTATTTCCATTTTTAGATGGAAAAGTTGTGATCCAGAGAAGTTAAGTAATCTACTCAGTCTCGCACAGTGAGGAGGAAATAGCCAAAGTTTGAGCACCAGAGCTTGATTTTAAGGCATCTGATATTAGCCACAATGCCACTAAATTCCATGAAATCTGGAAAAAAAAAGAGGGTCGAAGATGTGACTTTGTCTGAATGGGGTCAGTGTAGGTCTCTTAGCAGAGAAAGGTGCCCAGAGAAAAGAGTGCGACAGCCTTATACAAGTATTCATTAAAATCACAGAGCCCCTCATCCCTGGATCTCTATTTCCCCAACATCCACCTTCCTCCCCACTAGTGGAGGAAAATGTCACCTGGGAGTGGGATCTCTAGGTTCAAGGCTTCTCACTGGACCACATCCCTGCTGATAGGCAGACTCTTTTGAGGTAAATGAATGATAATGATGCCACGAAGAGGTCCTACTGCAACTCTCCATCATGTGCCATCCTGGCTGTCAAAAACTCTCTTCCCAGAGCCTGATCATGCCCAGTAAGTCATGTCCAGAACAGGATCTGCAGAACTGAAAACCAGCACTAATTGCACAGATTCTTTCCAGTGTGAACTGTGTGTGCATGTCATGAGGTGTGGGAAACTTGACTCATGCCGCTTCTCAGTTTCTTAGCCACTGCTTATGAATTGCGATATATATTGGGGGAGAGTGGTACACAGTGATGGACTTATAGCTCTGGGCTTTCTTCCTCTCTGGGCTTCTGGCCACACCTCTTTATTGCTTTAGTACACTCCAGTGCATTCTAGCAGATGCTTAAATATTTTCTCCAACTTTTCTAAGTGACATCAACAGTAATTTTTATTTAAAACAATCTTTAAGCTGTATGATTGTGTGTGTGTATGTGTGGAGGTACAAATGCATGCTCACTGCATGCTCATTCTCAACTTTTAAGTATGATTTAAATTTATTTCTTTCCAGGGGATAGAGCAACAGGGAGTATAGACGTTACTATATTTGAAGGATTCCAAGGTGGTTTACATATGCTGCTTAATTTAATCTCTATAGTCCTTGGGAAAGCTATCATTAGTAATATCTCTGTAAAATTTCCCATTTTACAGATAGAAAACAGGCTCAGACACATTAAAGTAATTTACACAAGGTCTCATACAGTTAGGGAGAGTGGTGGCTTGATAAGCTGAGAACTTTCCGGCTCACCAAAGGTCGTCAGAGAGTGGGTTACTGAGGAGCCTGGGGGCTTCTGCTTCAGGGAGTGTTTTGAGCAGAGGCTGGAAGGCCTTTTGGCCTTGAGTCTGGAAGGTCATCATGGAGTGGGTGTCAGATGACCTTGAGGGCCTCTGGCTCTGAGAAGGACACTTATGTCCTGGCTGCAAGACAACTGACTCAGATGTCAGGAGGTCTGGGCCCAGCCCTGGCCCTGTGGCTCACTGGCTATGTGAGGTTGGTTTGGGCATTTCAGCTTCTGGGCTTGTGCTTCTTCTTTCACTGAAGGAGTCTCTGGGCCTATGACACTTATTTTCGTACATTGTAGCCACCAAATCCATTCCTCTAAGTGAATGCAACATTTAAGCTGAAAATGTATGTATTAAATTTGTAACCTTTTGAAATATATGATGTTTTTCTTTTGTTCTCTGCATTTCTTTCTTTTTGTTCCATGAAGAAAACCAATTTCTTATTTTTCTGCCTCATCAATTTGTTTTCAGAGTTGGAACCAGAAGCTGTGTGCTGTCAGGGGCTCTTCCTGTGTTGCTTAAGTGCCCAAGGGATTGTGCTATCGAGTGCCTTTAGAGGACAATGAGATGAAGGGACAGTCCTTTGAAGATATCATGATCACAGAGAGAGATACTGCTCCCACAGTATAAAACTGTGAAGGGGTACATAAGTTGAGGCAGGAAGAGGCAGGCATTGACCCATGTCCATGCTTGGCTCTGCAGCAGTGCCCAGATTGGACAAGGCTTCTGAGGGACTGTGTCTCTGCGTGTGCCTTGTGAGGATCGCATGGCACGCAGAAGTCTAGTCAGAAATTGAGCACGATGCCTTGAAGATTAGAGGATTTTCCTCCACTTTCCAGGTACCATATAAGCCTAATTTGATTTGATTTTAGGTGTGGCCAGGCTTTTAGGTGAAATTTATTTGGAATTAAATTTCAGACCAGCTCAGGCTTAGAGTCTGACCCAGTTAGATTAAAGGAAAATATGGCACTCTTTGCATATCTAAGTTTGTGTGCACACCCAGTGCATGCAAATCAAATCAAGACAGTCTGTTCATGGCCGGCCCGGTGGCGCACTGGATAGTGCGCGGCTTGGGAAGCGTGGCGGCGCTCCCGCCCGAGGGTTCGGATCCCACATACAGACCGGTTCCTGCTCACGGGCCGAGCGAGGCACGGGGGCAACACCGAGGGTTGCGATCCGTTGCCGGACACGGAAAAAGACAAAAAGACAAAAAAAAAAAAAAAGACAGTCTGTTCATGGCCGGCCCGGTGGCGCACTGGATAGTGCGCGGCTTGGGACGCGTGGCGGCGCTCCCGCCCGAGGGTTCGGATCCCACATACAGACCGGTTCCTGCTCACGGGCCGAGCGAGGCACGGGGGCAACACCGAGGGTTGCGATCCGTTGCCGGACACGGAAAAAGACAAAAAGACAAAAAAAAAAAAAAAAAAAGACAGTCTGTTCATCGTAATAAAGATGGAAGTTTATTAAGTCCCTGGCAGCCTCCCCTCCACCCCTCCATCCAATGCTCTTCTGGCCTCTGCCCCAGAGAAGATGGAGGGATCAATCCAGGTGCACCTCAGTCTGGTCCCTGAAGTTTAAAGTGTCTCATTGTTCTTTTTATCCAGCACAGAAAGCTTGAGATCCTGGTGTAGACACATGGAGGTTTTCCATTTTTTTTTCCAAAGGAGACAATGCCCTGGGCCACGTTGTTACACACCAAGGGGCCCCCAGAGTCCCCCTGTGGGCAGAGAGAGGAAGGACTGAGCTGGGGGTGGGTGGCTTCCTCCTAGCCCACCTCCTGGCCCTCCTCCTCCCCACCTCCCTGGGGATGGGTTGTCTCTGGTGAGGGCTGCGTGTGAGGCCAGGGCAGCCCTTATCCCCTCCCTCATTCCGGGGGCTCCAGCCTGGACCTGACAATTCCCTCTAGTAGACCTAGGCTGGACTTGTCTCTGCCCCCCCGGGAGCCTCCACCCATAAAGTGGCTGTGGGGTAGTCTCCCATTCTCCTCCAGGAAGAAGGGATCAGAGACTGGGTTGGTGGAAAGGCTGAGTAGATAAGGATATGTCTAGTTCCTACTGCCGTGGGTTTCCTCGAAGCTCTGCTGTGCCCACACCTGGGAATGGATCATGCTGGTGCTCTCACCACGAAAGAAGTCTTCCTCTTTTTTGGGTCCCCCACACATATCTGGGTGGCGTGGTTGTAATGCTTGTAGCGAGACATGCATTGTTGGTCGCTTTGGACTTCAAGGTCTACCTCATGCAGCCTCACTGTGGACTTGTCCATGCTGACGTTCCCCCAGCCGGCCACACTGCATACCATCCCCGGTGTCGCCCGCGCTCTCCTCCTGGTCAGCCTGAGGATGCCCACCGCGGCAGTCAGCTTGGCCTTCTTCTTCAGCTGAAGGCAGAGGATGGGAATTCTACTCTACCAGTGGCCCACAGAGATTCCAGACAGTTATGTGGCTGCCTCTTCCATGGCCGTGGGACAAATGAAGGGTTATATTGGGAGGGAGGGACAAGGAAAGAGATCATGGAGATGCAAAAACCCTGGGATTAATGTGCAAGAGAATTAGTGGAGTGATATGCCTCACCTGCAGTAACATGATGTCGCTGGAGAAGTTCTTGGAGTTATAGGCTGGGTGGGGGATGGCTCTTCTCACAGCGATGATTTGCTGGGTCTTCTCCTGCTCCTTGATGTTGTGGGCCCCCAGGATGACATTTATTGAGCTGCAGAGAGAGAGGTAAGGTCACAGGAGATACAGCCCAGAAGCCTGCAGGAAAAAGGACAGCCAGGGCAGGGCAGGGCAGGGCTAGAGTGGAGAGGAATTACAGGGGCTGGGGTCTGGGGCTGAGCATGTCTGTGCCCTCTGCTTCTGGGCAGCCAGGGCTGGGTGGCAGCTCCTGGAGCAGATGCAGGTGCTCAGCCATGCACAGAGCTTGACTCTCTCCATGCAAAACTCTGAGTGTCTCAAATTTGCACTTTGTGCTCCAGGGCATGACCTCGGCCTCCTTCCCATCCACCTTTGATCAGGGTGCTCCTTTTGTCTTCAACAAGCCACTTGCATTGATCTGCCCCTGTCTTCCTAAAGCTTACTTGTCCTCCAAGGAGTTCTTCTGTGTTACTAGGTGGTCCAGATTTGTAGGCTCTAAAAAAGGGACTCCCCTGGGGTACCTACAGAAGGGTGGGGGTCCAGGCATGCATTCACCTTCCCCAGCAGTGAGCTGCTGTCAGCACAAAGTCCTCACGCACAAGAAAGCCCCCACACTGTCCCATTTTCTCCAGAGCCTGGAACCGAAGAAATGCCATGTAGGGACGAGAATGAGGCGTGGTCTCATGACCCCCGATGATTTTCCCTGAAAGAAAAATTCTCCCCTGTCTCTGTGCTCATGGAGCCAAAAGCTGAGGGAGGGAAGACCAGCATAAACTAGAACAGAGAGGGAAATAGTTGGGTGGGGTGGTGGATAGTGAGGTCTGCTATAGCCAGCAGCAACCAAGAAGGGGGTCCTGTGGGTTCTTTCGACAGCATTCCTGGCTTGCGAAGAGACACACAAGACTCACATTCTCCCTCTGATCAAGAGAAGGACAGTCTTTGCCCCTTAATTCCTGCTCAGACATTTATGTTTTTGCTTGGAACAAGCAGAGAAGTCCCCACAGATCCTGGAAAATCTTTTCTCTGAATCTCCTTTGATCTTCCTTCTGCTCTTGTTTCCCACACCCCACTGTGCTGCTGCTGGTTTGTAACACGAGTTCAAGATGCTGAGTTGTGTTTGGTCTGCATCTACTAGAGCCTGACACAATGTGGGTGCCCAGTAAAGGTCATGGCTGCATGAAGGAATGGCCCCCAAGGGGCCTCTGGGTGAGTGTTGGTTGGGGTTGTGCTGGTGGGATTCAGAGCAACAGGGCAGATGGGTCCTGACAAAGTCACTGTTCCCATCCGTAACTGAAGAATGACCAGAAAGTACTTGAGGCTGAATCAAGGCAAAAATAAGTGTTAAGGGGAGGAGAATGCCACCAACTCTGGACCAAATGGGTCTTAGGCTTCTTTGCTGGGCAGCATGGGAATGACATTTGGAGAAGGAAGTAAAGACTGAGGGTAGATTTTAAGACATTGAGTTAGAAATTTGGTGGGCCTTACCTTGATTATAAAAGCCAGCCCCTTTCTCCAAGCTGCTTTTTTCTAGGGGAATTAATTATTTTTACTTCCCAGCTTAAATCATTCTTCTGGATTTCTTTGTGAGACCCCACTTTCCAGATAGCAAGGGTAAGGCTTGGAGAGGAGGTGGTACCTGCCAGCCCTTATGCAGAGCATCCTTTCTGTCCTGCTATTCCTACTGAGTTTCTGCCCAGCATCAGATCTGCTGGTCTTTGGGTGAGATTGGACCTGGGGTTCAGAAAGTTCCTGGAGATGGGCCAGGGCCAAGATGTGTCTGAGTGTAGCCCCTGAGCAGTGCTGTGGGATGTGGTTGATCTCTGTTGATAGGGATGGTCACTCACCTGCCTCGGCCCAAAGGCACACAGGAAAGGCCAACAGGAGCAGGATCAGCTGCATCGTCCCAGATGGTTGCCCAGGTGAGAGCTGCTGGTGAGTCCTCCTTGTCTTCTGACCCCCAGTTGTTGCGGGGCTTATCGTATAAGACTACCTCAGCCTTATATCACTGTCTGATCAAGTCCTCGGGCTTGAGTTGTATAAGAACTTATCTATCAGTCAGCACAGAAGCACCCACAGCTCTTGACTCGGTGCTGACCACACCGACAGAAAACAGGAACCCAAAGCCACATGTTGGGGTGGTTGGAGATGCTGCATTGGCCAGCAGTGTGTCCTTGAGCCTCAGAAAGCTGAGTCTCATTATGATAGATCAAGAAGGTCTTCAATTCCTTGGCTCTCTTTAGACCATCAGGATGATCACTTATTGAAGCCCTTTTCTGTGTGAGACTCAGGGATATTGGAGACGAGACTCCTTGGCCCTGGTGGAGGAGACAACATCAGTGATTAGACAGGGACGGTAAGGGCCATGGTCATAGGGGAGGGCAGGATGGTGTGGAGTCACACTGAAGAGGGTGTATTTCAGCTACTAAAGAACTTTGTGGCTTAAAAAGACAGCAATGTCTATTTTGCCCACGAATCTGAAATTTGGTCAGCATTGGTGTGGATAGCTTGTCTCCGCTCCCCTCAGTGCAAGCAGGGGCAGCTTGAGGCCTGGAGACCAGTGTCATGTGGAGGCTCACTCACCCACACATCTGGCTGTTGACACTGGCTGGTGGCTGGGGCTTTGTTTCCTGGCCATGCTCTCTCACTGCTGGAATTGTTCAGTCTCCTGGCCATATGGCTTGCTTCCCCTGAGTGAGCAGCTCTCCAGAAAGCAAGCCAGGCAGAGCTGTGTCCTTTTTATTACCTGGGCTTTGATGTCATACGATATCCTTTCTACCATAATCCACTGCTTGGAGCAATCAAAAGCCCCCACCCAGATTAGACAGGGAGGAACATGGACCCTGCCTCTCAGTGGGAGGAGTATGGAAGTCATGTTGGAAGAAGAGCTGGTGGGATGGAGATAAACAGTGGCAGTCATTTTAGGAGGTTGAACCTTCCACACTGCTTCAGGTACATGTGGAATTGGTTAGAGGAGTTGAAACCACGGATCAGCCTAAGCCTAGGTTATAGCCTTTGGATACGTTGAGGTCTGCTTTGTCCAAACCGTGTGTACTGAAAATGGAAGAGGGTTGGTTCTCCCAAAAGATATTCTCTTTAATGTATTACTGATGTCACATGTACTGGGAACCAGTGCCAGAGAACCAAAGCAGTATTCTCAGGCCACTGTCCAGAGAACTACACTTCTGATATCTCTGTACCCTTTGCTAAACAAATTAGCCTAATGATTTCCCCATAATAGAAAAAAAAGAAGAGAGTCATGGACTTGAAAACGTTGTTGGTCCTAAACATCTTGATCCCAATTCTCTTTTTTTTTTGTTTTTTTGTCTTTTTCCATGTCTGGCAACAGATCGCAACCCTCAGTGTCGCCCCCGTACCGGACCGGGACCGGCAATGGGATCGCAACCCTCGGTGTTGCCCCCACGCCTCGCTCAGCCAGTGAGTGGAACCGGTCTGTATGTGGGATCCGAACCCTCGGCGGGAGCGCAGCCGCACTTCCCAAGCGGCGCACTAGCGCAGTGCGCCACCGGGCCGGCCCGATCCCAATTCTCTTAAAAAACAACAAAATCTTAGTTAAAGAAACAAAGCACTCTGTCAACAGTGAGCCTGGCACAGAGCAGGGAGGACGGCACTGCGCCAGGCCTCCTTCCAATGTGGGCACCCTCCTTAGGCCACACGGGCTTAGGCACCTTGTGCAGGGCCGCGGGCTTGGGGTGTGAGCATACATGTGAGTTGAGGGGGGTATCCTCATGGGAGGGCAGCCCAGCAGAGGGAGTGGAAGCCCAACTGGGCTGAGGGAGACATTCATGCAAGGGGCTGATCTAATGCGCAGTATCGGAGATCAAGTGGTGTGACAGGAGCCTCTACAGGGGGGCAGCCTGGTGCGATTTGTCAGAGCAGGTTGAGTACAGTGAGGCGGACATTGGCCTGAAGGGGCTGCCTGCTGTGGAGTGGCAGAGCCTGGGTGCAAGAAGGAGGGAACCCAGTAGGAGAAGAGGGGTGGTGGTGATGGAAGATTTGTTATATAAATCCCTCTGGAAATTAGTTCAAATAAGTAAATATCTTAAGGTTAATGAGCTGGTTTTCTCACTGCGGATTAGAGGGTATTGATGGTATCAATGTTATCATTGTGAGTTTGATGGCTATATTGTGGTTGTATGAGAGAGTATCCTTGTTTGCAGGAATTACATCCTAAGGTATTTAGGAAGCAATAGAGCATCATGTCAGTAACTTTACTGTTAAATAGTTCAAGAAGACAAAAGTTACTGTACTCGCAACTTTTCTGTAAACTTTAGATTGTTTCAAAATTAAAAGAAAATCTATAGTCTTCAAAAATACAAGCAACAGTCTGAAGATATAATTGAAAAGAAAATCTGTTACAATAGCAACAAAAAATATAAGATGCTTAGAAAAAACTTAACCAGAATTATGAAAAACCTATTTGAGAAGAATGTTAAAATATTCCTAAAAAAACACCTAAACAAACTTGAGAAATAGATATTACTAGTTCTTGGATAGGATGGATCTACACCATTAAGATCCCAATTCTTCCCAATCTAATATATAAATTCAATGTGGTTCCAATAAAAATACTAACAAGTTTTTCTCCTAGAGTTCACAAGTTCGAGACAATTTCTAAAATTCATGTGGAAAATAAACATGCAAAATAACTAGAAAAGACACACACAAAAATAGGAGTAAGGAAGATTAGTTTTATGGGATATTAAAAACACCTTATAAAACTTCTTTCCTGAAAACAGCGTGGTGCTGACTTATGAATAGATGAACAGACCAATGAAAGAGAATAGAAAATTCAGAAACATTCCCAAGTACCTATGGAAATGTAGTTTATAGTAAGGTGACATTTCTGGCCTGGATTGCCTATTTCTTATTTTTGACTCTTTAAAAATGTCTTTTTACTGTCTCCTGATTTCCATTATTTCTGATGAGAAACTCATAGTTATTTTTATTATTGTTTTACCTAATGCATCTTTTCCCCTCTGTCTGCTTTCAACTTTTTCTTTTTCTTTTAGATTTTTACCAATTTGACTATGATGTGCTTAGATGTGGCTCTCTTTGTACTCATCTTTGTCCTATCCAGGGTTCACTGAGATTCCTGAATCTGTGGATGAGAAATGTAATCCAGCAATAGGCCTCTGGAAAAAAAAAAAAAAAGAGAGATACTGATGAGCACTAGAATTTTCTGCCAAAATATGGATGTAGTGGAGCAATAGCCAATAGACCACAGCCCCTGAATTGACAAGAGAATCCCTTTGAGATGGAGCCTTGGGTTTAGCTGGATGTCATCAAACACACTGTGCTCAGCGCTTCTGGATCTGATTCCTTGATCTTTAAGCAACATTTCATCACGCGTTGTTTCCTGCATTGCAGGTCTGCCTACAAGGAGTGAGATGATCACATACAGAGAACCTGAGTTGTCCAGGACAGTGGCAATAGTTTCTCACCTAAAATATGGTGATCTGGTTTTATCATCATCTCCTAATCTTGGCTCATATGAGTCCAGCCTAATATATGGCTCTGATTTGATGTGATTTTCATGTGGAATTAGCTCTCTGACCTAAAACTCTGAGAATTAGTGGTCTGTGTGAATTTACCATGGCAGTGCAACCCTGTGAGTCTTTTAGGAGCCAACTATCAAGACTTCTCTAGCAACATGTATACCAAGACATGGCTGTGATTGCTTCCTCACACAGTGTGACTCCTACTACCACCTCTTTGTTTCTGGAACCATGTATTCTAGCTACGGGGGAGTCAGCACCATATATTCATTGCTCGCTTATAGACTGACTATACTGCATCCTGTAAGGACAGCATCCCAGTCTCACAGGTAGCTGTTTCTCAGCTGTCGTTATTATTCAGTCTTTGGTAGGCTGTTCCACAATTCTGTCAGGCTAGCTTCTTCCAGGTGATATGGTATATGAATCCATTGCTGCACTTCTGTCACGGTTAAACATGTTTGTTGGTCAAAAGCAATGTTGTGTGAGATAGCAAGATGAGAAATAAACCCTGTAAGTTCTGTAAGCCCCCAAAGAGTGGTGCTGGCAGAAGTATGGTGGGGGGCTGGAAAGGCAGAGTCACTAGTACATATTCTCTCAAACACATTAGCAAGGTCTTGCTTTCCTTTGGGTCTATCTCCTCTAGGAGCTGACTTGACAGTTCTCTCCCTGGCTATGCTGGGACCTGACTCTTCCTGCGAGCCTGGAGGTAAGGAGGGATGGTGGGAGTGGATCTTGGTGAGCTGAGGCATTTCCTTTTATTTTATTTATTTATTTATTGAAAAATAACTGATTAAACATATTTGTGGGGTGCACTTTCTAGCCTCAGCAAGGTCATTACAGAGATTTTAAGCAAGGGAAAGATTGTTTCTTCAAATGGTGGGGGTTGGGGATATACTTCCACAGACCAAGGAGATTTGAAGGAATCAGCATGTTTGAATCCACCCAAAAGTGCCCATGGACAGGTCTCAGCTTACCGAAGGAAGGTGCTTTGAACAATTCTCACTGAATGGCTGCTGGAGGAGCCCAGAGGCTTTCTCTCTGGGGAGATGAGCTCAGGGGTGGGTGTTAGAAGACATTGAAGGTCGCTTGCTGGTCTGGCAGTCAGGGGCCTGGGCTCAGTCCAGGCTTTGCCCTAATTTCTGTGATATCTTCAGTCAGTCATTCCCCTCTCCTGGAGTTTTGTTTCTTCCTCTCTCTCAGAGGAGAAGGGGGGCCTGCAACAATGGCTTTTAAACTTGTTTTAAGCCACAAAACAATTTCCTCAAAGTAAATATAATACCTAAACTGAATGTGTATGTGACTGGGAAGCTTTTAAAAAATACCATTATTTTGTTTTGCTTTCTGTATTTTCCTTTTTTGTCTTTTCCAAAGGAGTCAGGTCCTTAGTATGTCTTAGGCTCAGGGATTTTTTTTTCCCCAGCTCC